TCAAGGAAACGTCCTTACTGAAGAAAGAATAGATATTACAGATAAAATAATCAATGTCAAAAAGGTGATTTCTTAAATTGTTTTTTCTTTTTTCTTTGTAATTAAAAGATTAATCCTTTTAAAATTTCTAGTTACTGACACCATTAGCACCATCAAAAGTTCCAATAATTCGATGTATTGGGCTAAATTATAAAGAACATGCAAAAGAAACATCGCAACCTATACCAAAATTCCACTAGTTTACAGAATCCTTTTGATAAGATTAAAGTACCTACTATAGCTACTAATAATCAAGCTGATTTTGAAGCCGAATCAGCTGTAATAATTGGCAAAACCTGTAAAAATGTTGATAGAGAAGATGCTTTACAATATGATTTGGGATATACCGTAGGAAATGATGTTTCCGCTAGAAAATGGCAAGGTATTTTTAAGAATGGTATTTACATTTTTAAAAGTCAAAACAATAATGTTCTTTTTTATCTAGGAAAAAGATCTTGGGTCTGGTCAATGGTGTTTTTCAAAAGTAATTAATTTTTTTTTAATAAAAAATAATTATTAATTTGAATTTTTAATATATGGTTTTGATTTAATAGGGATTTGATACATTTTGCCCAATTGGACCACAATTAGTTTCTCCATCAATTATAAAAAATCCAAATTCATTAAGAATTAATACGAGACTTAATGACAAAATTCAAATACATCTGATATGATCTTTAATGTAGCTGAATTAATTAGTTTCTTAAATCAGGGTACGACATTACAAGCTGATTCTTTGATCTTAACAGAAAATCCTCAAGGTATATATATTAATATTAAAAAATAGTTATGGTAGTTAATTATTTTAATACCTTATTATATAGGCGTTGGGATTTACTAGAAAGCCTCCAATTTACTTTTAACTCAATGATAAAATTGAATTAGAAATCGATCAAATAGGAACTTTAACTAATATGATTGAATACGAATATCAAAATAAATAATTTTAAATTATAATTATATTAACAGTACATTCGGTTTTTGAATGTATAAGTAAAATTGTTTTGATTAAAAAATATGCTTTTAATTTGTTTAAAGTATTTAAAAATTTTAAATTTTTTAAAATCTTTCTTAAATTGTAGGGATTTGCAGGTAAATTTGCTTGCTTATTTACTATAAATTAAATTCTCTTCTGATTTACTTTTATAAATAATTAATAGTTTTTAAAAAAATTTTTTTAAATTAATTTTATAAATATATAATTCTTATATAAGAAAAGTATATGTATAATATACGTAGAAAAACATTAGGCATCTGTTTCTCGTCACATGATTAAAAGGGTAGTCAGATCGGCGGTTGAAATGTTGTTTTATATAGTACTTACATTTTGATTATTTTGATTTGTTGATTATTGTAATCCTTAAAATCGTGATCAAATCAGGTTAGAGGTCAGTTTAAACAATGTTACAAATCGTTTATAAGGAATAATAAAGAATATTTACAAAACAATGATATTTTCCATGAAAATAACGTCATTGGATATTAATTCAATGGATTTGATATCATTGGATATTAATTCCATGGATTTGACATCATCAGACATTAGTTCCGTGGATTTGACGTCATCAGACATTAATTCCGCACAGCTCAAATGTGTGTCAAATTATGCCGATTATATGGCTTAAAGTATGTGGCGCATTTTTCAAAAAAAAACGTCTAAGTCAAATTTTACTGCAAAAACCCAACCCGCCGCCTTAAGTAAACTAGCAGTACGAGCAAAAATACGCTTACATATATAATATTTAAGTCTAAATATAATGTTTATTAAGGTTTGGTTTGGAAAGAAAAAAAAAATCGTAAAAAATTGCCTGTAGCGCTCATCATGTCGATCATTTCCAAAAAAGTATTTTTTTGGCATAACCTTACACACATTTGAGATATGCATTAATTCCATAATGAGTAAGGTATGCAATTGTATTTATTTTTAATAATTCTTTTTGACAAAATTTAACATACCGTATTTTACCGAAAATAAGCACAAACATATTTATACCAGACCCGAATATAAGCACATTTGTAAAATTTATTGTAAAAATCTAACTAAACATATTATAAATGCAAAATAATGTTTACAAAAAAAGAAATAAGCTATTGTATCTTGTTAAAAGTATTATTGCTAATTACTTTCATCATCAGTTTCACTTGTTACCAATTCCTCAATTTCTGATTCTACTATATCAATTTCCAATTCCAATTCTTCATCAAATTCTAATCTATCAGTCTCGATTTCTGATTTCTCCCCATTTATATCAGAATTTACCGATGAATCTGTTATACGATTTAATAATGATTTCATCAGAAATTTTCTCCCATAATCACTTAACCCAACCACATATATCACTTATTTTAGCATACCGAAGGTTTCTGTTAGCATTATTTCCAGCACCACTACTTGCCATCCACAGATGCCATTCTTTTAAAAGGTTATCCTTAAATGGCTTGTTAATTGCAACATTGAGAGGCTAGCAGATACTTGTTAATTCATCAGGAATCACCGCTAAATAAACATTACTTTTGCGAAACTTGTTTTTGACCGATTCTTTTAGGTGGTCTTTGAACAAGTCATATACTAGCATTGTTAGATCCTTGAATTTATTATCATTAAAATAATCAATGTAATCCTTTATCAAGTTAACATCTATCCATCTGTTCTTCTGAAACCAAATTATCACACTAGAAGTAATTTTTCTTTTTTATCACGTGCTAATCTTTTTTCTTTAAATATGTAAATAGGAAGTAATTTGTCTCATCTTATTAAGTAAATTCAAATTTAATAAGATTAAAACCTACAAAATTTGCAAAAACTACTAAAATATGCAGATAAAGACAAAATTTCAAAAACTTATCAGCAGCGCATGTAAGAACAACTGTAAATCGATTTTTTCATTTTTATTCCTACAAATATGTACTGTTTTTCACCTTTTTGATTAACTGTAAAATTACTTGCCAAACAGGCATTTTATTCATATTATAAATATCGCATATTTCAAAAGACTTTTCTACCTTATTTTGGATGATAAACCTATTAAAATTTTCTAGCAATTCTTTAGTATGTTCTAGGAGTTTCTGAGATATTTTCATGCATCAGCGTAATACTAGTTTATATATAAATCAAAAAGGGGGTTTTGGGATAAAATTCCAAATAGTACTCAGTAAAATTCCTGCCTACCTACAAATCAATTTTAGCTATATGAATCAATTATTGAATTCAAACCTCTAGCATGATTTGACTTAAATCTAGATGTTAATATTAAACTTAGTTAGGAATTAACCTGTTTGATACCAAGAACTACACTGTTTGATATAATCATTTTAGCCTGATTTTAATCCTAAATAATATATTAAAAAATTTTTACTATTCTATTTGCTTTAGAAGAGGCCATTAAAATCAAGGAATAAAGTAACGCGATTTGAGTTAGACCTGACATTGCAAATCCAATATGAATAATATCTTTTATGCTATACTGCTTGCCTCTAAAGGAACCATCAAAAATCAAGAAATAAAATGAAGTAATTTGAGCTAGACCTGATCATGCAAGCCTAAAATGTATATCATATTCTAAGTCTCACCTCTAAGTTACACCTCTAAGTTGCACTTTTTATCAAGTTTCACCTCTAAATCACACCTCTAAAGGATAACAAATTTGTAAACCAAAAGTTTATTGAACATGTCTAGCATGCTAATAATTTCTCAACATACAGAAAACCTTTCAAACTCATTTTCTTTACAAAATCCTAGGACAAAAAAATACACCTCTAAGGTATATATATCCTAAGTCTCTCCTCTAAGTCACACCTTTTATCAAGTTTAATCTCTGAGTCTTATCCTGCAATTTATTAAAATATTGCATCACATAATATCCTCTAATATATTCAGCACACTGTTCACAAACAGTAGCAGTAGGTTTATCACAATCAGTACAAAAATAGCACTTTTTAGTCTTCCAATGTTGCCGATATTCTTCAAATCAAATGCAGACTTTGCCACAAGTCTTGCTAGAGTTATGAAGATAATCACAAGTATAAGATGCCTTCATTTTCAATAGGGATGAAAAAATTTAATTAAATAAAATTATCTGCAATATAGAAAAGTGAACGACATATATATAATAAGTACACAAATTCAATTATCTAATACTAAGCCTACATATCAGGAAGTAGAACAGGCATTAGTAAGTATAGTCAAAAGCTGGCATTTATTATAGATGACTAAAAGATGGCAAATTCATGCAATCATATAAAAAAAGAATCAAAAAATTATGCCAAACAGAGAATCCTCAAGAATATAGCTATGACAATGAAGCTAAATATTATAAAGTTAAAGATGACTACAAAAAATACTATAGGCAGGATCCAAAGATTTCAAAGATTCTTAACGCTATCATGGAACTATATAAATTATACTATAAATTAGCTAAGGATTATTTTATTACTGATAAACAAGTTAACGAAGAGACAGAAGACTTCCTATTATTACACCAATTCTTTAAAACGCTTGACTTAAATAAGTGTTATATTTACGTGTGCAGAAGGTTTCCTTCATAAAGAAGATAGAGAACTTAATTATAATTTTATAAGTGTAAAGAAAATATAATAATTCGCGTAGAATAAATGATTAACAAACAAAATTA